TCTGCCTCACCTGCTCTATTATTAGGATCGTAGAACCATTAATGCCATCATCAGGAGCCTTCTGCCATGACCTCATTGAAGCCTAATGACTTCCTCAAGTTCCTACCTCCAAATACCATTAATATATAAATTTGAAGATGTTTCTAATATTTGAACTTTTATGAGGACACGTTCAAGCCATAATAATGACAAAGAGAACCTTCTACCCACAGTCTCTTATTGAATGTTATTTCCACTTAGAGCCTTAGAATAACTTGTAGAAAGGCCTAGGCTGAGATTTGAAGAGGAGTCAGCTTAAACCCAAACTCCTGGAAGTGTGTTTACCCCAGTGCAAATTAGACCATAATAACTGACCCTCTGTAATGGGCCAATTTAGCAAACTTTTATTCTGATGAATATTGTTGGGGAATAACCTGAGGAAGTCCCTGCTGCTAAAGGTCTTAAATGCTACCCCAGGGTCTTAGTTTTATTCTGTTAAGCCTTGAGTAGTGATCAGAAGATTTCTACATCAGGGAGATGTATAATTAGAGCTGTTCTCTGGATAGTGGATGAGTTCTCAGGAGGCAGCGGGAGGCAGCCCAAAACTACGACCTTGAAAAAATAGTTTAAAGGTATAAGAAGGAAATTGTGACCACTGGGATTGAGAATGAAATGAAGAAATGGAAACTTCTGGGATTCACAGGTTCAATCTGATTGAAAAGCTAGGCCAGATTCAAAGGGTTTATTTTATTTATTTACATATTCTTGACAGTCCCAAGGCTTGAACTCAGGGGGGATGGCACAGTCCCTGAGCTTTTCTGCTCAAGGCTAACACTCTACCAATTGAGTCATGGTTCCACTTTGGGCATTTATTTATTTATTTATTTACTTTGGTGTGGTTCAGTGCAGATGAGTCTCATGGACTTTCCTGCCTGGAGTGGCTTTAAAAATTGATCCTTAGATCTCGGCCTCCAGAGTTTTTACGATACATGTGTGAGCCACTGGGGCTGGGCTTTTTCTCTAATTTTTAAGTGACATAAAATATGGTCTTGGGAAAGCCCACGGACTGGGAGAAGATCTTTACTAGCCATACAACGGACAAGGGTCTCATATCTAAAATATACTTGGAACTCAAAAAATTAAACCACCCAACAACAAATCCTCAAAGAAACAACTGCCCAATAAGTAAGTGGGCGAAAGACTTAAAGAGAAGCTTCTCTGAAGAAGAAAGAAGGATGGCCAATAGACACATGAAGAAATGTTCAACATCCCTCGCCATAAAAGAAATGCAAATCAAAACAACATTGAGATATCACCTCACTCCAGTTAGAACGGCAAAAATCAAGAACTCTAACAACAACAGATGCTGGAGGGGATGTGGACAGAAAGGAACCTTACTTCATTGTTGGTGGGAATGTAAACTTGTTCAACCACTTTGGAAAGCAGTATGGAGGTTCCTGAAAAGACTTCACATAGAGCTCCCCTATGACCCAGCAATCCCACTTTTGGGCATTTACCCTAATGTTTACAAACAAGACCACACTAAAGCTACCAGCACAACTATGTTTATTGCAGCATTATTTACCATAGCTAAGATATGGAACCAACCCAGATGTCCCTCAGTAGATGAATGGATCAAGAAAATGTGGTATATATACACAATGGAATTCTATGCCTCCATCAGAAAGAATGACATTGCCCCATTTGTTAGGAAATGGAAAAACTTGGAAAAAATTATATTAAGTGAATTAAGCCAGGCCCAAAGAAACGTAGGTCCCATGGTTTCCCTTATTTGTAATATCTAGTATATGTATGAGTCAAGCGGAAAAGGTCAGATAATGTGATGTCAGGAAAATGAACCCTTAGATGTGTATTTTAATGTTTTTTTTCTTTCATGCATGTGTTTCTAACACATTTATAAGATTACTTCTTTGTTGCTTTGTATGTCCCTCCTCCACAGTATAACCCCTGCTTTCACTATATTTGATGTCAGTATAACTTGTGGAGGAGATGGGGAAAAACCAGTTGTTTAAGGATACAGGTGGACTTGTTGCAACAATGAGAAGTACAAGTTGTCATGTCCAAAACGAGCTTTACAACGTTGGTGGGGGGGGGGGGGGGAAGGAGAAGGATTGGGATTGGGGGGGAGGGGGGAGGCTGGGAAGGGATGTGAAGGATAAACAATGGAGGAGGCTGCAATGCTTGGTAAGAAATGTACGCATTATCCTGCCCATGTAACTGTAACTCCTCTGTACAGTATGTTCACAAATAAAATTAAATTAAATTAAATTTAAAAAAATAAATAAATAAATAAAAGGAAAAAAAATTACCAGTAAAAAAAAAAATATGGTCTTGGAAAGACACAATGCCTATGTGTATCTGATCATGCTAAGTAATGCTTATAAGGATTGCTGAAAAGAGAACACCTCTTAGTTCAGGCAGAAAAGAGTTAATTAGGAGCACCAAACCTCTAGCCTGCACCAGATGTAGTATAGTGAGTTGTGCCAGGCCACACTGGAAAGTAGGATATAGCACAAGTATAGCATGCAGTAGACTGACTAATGGTGGAATGATATTGTGCAGGGAAAGGGGAAGAGGAGGTATGGCCCCAACAGAAGTGAAGTGACCTCAGAGAATAAGGAAGTGACCTCAAAGCCAGGGGTCCTTCTGTTGACTCACAGTCAGGTGATTTACAGCCACAGGTGATTTCTGTGAAAGCTGCAAGCTGTCCTTCACAAAGAAGAGGTGGGAGGAGGGGAAGCATGGGGTTGATACCCTAGAAGGACCTGATGACACTATTTATGAAAATGGACCTGAGAAACTGAAAACAAAAGCATTTAATCTTTTTTTTCTTTTTGCTCTTTTTCTTTACTTTTTCTTTTTGTGCATGTATATGTCTTTGGAAGTATAAGGGGAGGATCAGAAGGGACTAAGGGAGAAAAAAAATGCAGCAGTGGGGGCTGGGAAGGTGGCTCAGTGGTAGAGTGCTGGCCTTGCATGCATGAGGCCCTGGGTGCAATTCCTCAACACCACATAAGCAGAATAAGCCAGAAGTAGCACTGTGGCTCAAGTGGTAAAGCATGCGCCTTGAGCTGAAGAGCTCAGTCACAGTGCTCAGACCCAGAGTTCAAGCCACATAATGGACAAAAAAGAAAAAAAGAAAGAAAGAAAAGTGTTCAAGAGTGGTATTTACTGGACACTATATTGAAAATAAAATATATAATTTCTGGATGGGATGGGAGGGAAAGCTGGAAGATAGGCAGGGAAACAGTGAAATTTTTGAAAAAGAAATGTACTGTTTATCTGATTTATGTAACTGTAATACGTCTGTATATCAAATTCATAATAATATAAAATAAAAATGTAATTAAAGTGAATAGATGAAATAAAGTAAAAAACAGAGGTTGGGAGAATCATGGCTCAAAACTTGCCTAGGTAAAATGTTCCAAGAATATAAGGTTCACTAGAAAGAAACCTGCCAAGTGATTGAGGGAGAAAAGAGGTTATTGGGAAGAGAACAAAGCACTAACTGGCAAAAAATCTAGGCAGGAGAAAACAGAGAGGAAGGAAAAAAAAAAGAGGAGAAGTATAAAGGCAAATTTTATAGAAAACGGGGGGAGCTATATTGCAGCAGAAGCAGAAGTGATCTCAGGCCCTGGGAACTCTCTCAATATTAGAGGGAGGGGTGAACAGGGCAGTACAGGAAATGATCTTACCATATAAGGACCATATAAGGAAGTGATCTCAGAGTCTAGGATCCTGTGTTGGCTCATAGTCAGGTGATTACAGTTTTCGAGCAAATGAAGCAGAAGTGGAAGAGAGAGGTTTCCCAACAGACCTAACAATTATCACATCTCAACCAATACCAAAACAAGGTGTTATATGCCTTTCATTTCAGCTGGATGCAACGTGTGAATAGTTCAGGAGAGGCTAAGCATAAATACAACTTCATATTCCAAAAATAAAAGTGAAAGTGGATGAGGACATGACTTAAGTGGTAAAGCACAGGCCCAGCATCAGTCCTCACAAATTCAAAATAAAATAAGCATAGGATGATCACCTATTAACAAACACAAGTTCAACGACTTTTGAATATCCACAAGATACAGTGGATGATGCCACCTAAAGTTGCTTACAGTCTGGTGGAAAAGTAATAAACACAGAGTCCCAATAGAGAAGATAAACAGAAGTAAAAAAAAAAAAAAAAAAAAAGAAGAAGAAGAAGAAGAAGAAGAAGCAGCAGCAACAGAAGCAGAAGAAGCAAAAACCAAATAAACACAATAAACCTTTTCCAAGCCTGGATAAACCTAAGTTGCACCTAACCCAAATCAAAAAGCCTGGTCTTTGTAGAAGGAAATTGTAAGAAGCAGTTCCTTGAAAGAGGAGGTGAAAGGTGTGGCTGCCAGGATGTAAATTCCAACTCCTATTGATATGTAAATCAGCTTCCCTAAAAGACCACTCAGGGACACTTCCTGTCCTGGGCCCACCCCCTTTAAGTATAAATAGAGCGGAAGTCTGAGACTCAGCATTGCTGGAGAAGATCCCACAGCAGCAGGACAGAGGCCCTTTGGATCTTGGAAACTCCAGGTGAGGATCAGAGTAGGAGAATCTTCTTTTCTCTTAATACTTCTCTCCTTGGTTTAGTGTTGTTGTCGGTGGTGTTGTTTTATTGGTTGTGGGGCTTGAACCCAGGGCCTGGGTGCTGTCTCTGGCCCACTTTGTGCTCAAGACTGGGCATTGTTCCAGGGCCCCTTTGTGGTCAAGGTTACTGCTCTATCACTTGAGCCAAAGCCCACTTCTGATTTTGGAGTGGTGAATTGGAGATAGGAATCTGTGTCAGGGGGACTTTTGTGGCAGAGGCAGTTTCAAAGCTTGATCCTCAGATCCCAGTCTCTTGAGCAGCTAGGCTTCTAGGGGTGAGCCACCAGCACCTCATTAGATTCTAGGAATGATGGACCCTGACATTGCCCAGGCCTTCCAGAAGGAAGTGAGCTGTGCCATCTGTATAAACACTTTCATAGAGCCAGTCACCCTAGAGTGCGGGCACAGTTTTTGTCGACCTTGTCTCTGCCTTTGCTGGGAAGAGACCCAGACTCCAGCCAGGTGCCCTGGATGCAGGGGACCCTGCCAGCAGAGAAACCTCAAAACCAACGTGGTTCTGAAGAGCCTGGTGGCCATTGCCAGAAGAGCCAGCCTCAGGAGGTTCCTGAGCTCTGAGGAATACAGGTGTGGGACACACGGGGAGACCAAGCAGATGTTCTGTGAGGTGGACAGGGCCCTGCTCTGTAGGAGCTGCTCCCAGTCTCAGGAGCACAGGGCTCACAAACACCATCTCATAGAAAGGGTTGCTGAGGAGCAGAGGGAGGTGATTTCAAAGCAGATGGACACTGTATGGGAAAAGACTCAAGAAAACCAGCGCAATTTACATAAGAAGAGGAGACTCATCAACCAGTGGATTCGTTATGTGAACCTATACGGAGGCATGACCCAGGATGCTTTTGCAATGCTGCAGCTGGGTGTCCAGGAGGAGGAAAGGCAGCATTCCCAGCTACTGATCAATGAAGGAAGAGCCATGTTACTGCAACTCAGAGAAAGGGAAACACAAATGCTTCAGAAGAAGCATCAACTTAGGAAAACATATCAGGAGCTGATGGAAACATACCAGAAGCCAGATGTGGAACTGCTTCAGGATGTAGAGTTGACCCTAAAGAGCTGTGAGTCAGTGTTGGTCTTCATGCCTCTCCCTCTGAGGCCACAGCTCAGTGCCCCTCCCATGCCTGGACTGATAGAGAGGCTCAGCCAGTGCCGGGTGGAGATTTCCTTCAATGAAGCGGTGGGGAATCAAGTTCATGGGAGCAGTGTTAGACACGACCATCAAGATGGAGTTTTGAATTCTGAAGATTCCCTCCTCTTCACTGCTTTTGGTCACCAAGTCTTCAGCTCTGGGAAACATTACTGGGAGGTTACTGTAGATGACTCTTCCACCTGGGCCCTGGGAGTTGTTAGGGATTCTGCCATAGGGAGCAACCTCACTGAATATGAGGACCTTTTCCTCCTTCTGTTTGTGAATGAGAACACTCTTTACACCCTTTTTACCACCTCCCCAGTGATGCCTCACTATGTAGAGAAGCCTCTGGGCCGGGTTGGTGTGTTTCTTGATCTTGATCATGGCAGTATGAGTTTTTGGAATGTGGCTAAGAGTGTCCTTATCTGGAGATACCCCACTGGCTCTCTCCAATTTCCTGTCAGGCCCCTTTTTTCCAGGGGTATCCCGTTGTCATAAGAGAAGAGACTATGTGTTGGGAACTCTAAAGCAGAGAACCTTTCTCAAATGAAGCAAACCACTAGTAATGTACTAATATGAATTTATTTGTACAATAATTGCATTATATTATAAAATATGGAGAAAACATAAAATAAAATATAGAATGTGAAAAAAAATTGTATGAAGATAAGCTAACATTGCAACAATGCAACAAGAGAGCAAATAAATATTAAAAATTTGCTACAAAAATAAATCCATGCCAAAACGAGTCCCCAGTGACTGCTTTTCACCCTGAAAGGGGTTGGGGCTCAGAATAACAAAAAACAACACTGAATGTAGTGGGCACTGTTGTTTTACCAGTAATACTTGCTCCTCAGCAGGCTGAGATCTGAGCATGGCAATTCATAGCCAGCATATACAGGAAAATCCAAGAGAGTCTTATCTCCAATAAACCACCAAAGTGGAGCTGTGGTCCAAGTAGGATATGGAAAAAGAAAAAGAAAATGAAACAACAACGAAAAGCAAAAACAAACAAACAAACAAATACCCTCACGATCAGTGCTTATGCCGTAAGTTCAAGCCCTAGGAACAGCCTAAAACAGAAAAGTAGTACTACTTTCAGTGACACAAAATTCTAGAGCAGCTTTTTTATGAGTAGATTCTGTACTCACCTTGGGAAGGAAAAAAAAGAGACACTTCTATCATACAGCATCTGAGTGTTTCACTTCCTTATACATTGGATTCTTTGATTAACTTTCAGTCCTAGTTCAAAAAAAAAATGAATAAACAAATTTGTGCACTCAGAGAAAGAGCTGTTAATAACGGAGAAGAATGAAAATACGTACTTGAACACTAAAGATGAAGGCATGTCTCTAAATAGAAGAACATGCATTGTTTTTTAGTGTAAAAATGAACAGAGTCGCAACTCAGGCTAAGAGATTCATTAACTGTGGCATAGCTTAATTTATACATTAGGTACAGGTTCACAATAGCCACCAGTTGTAACAATACAACAGTATGCTGCCCAGGTGTGATGGCTCCTTGTTGCTGTCTCTCTTTCACTCTAGTGACTTAATTGTTCTGTTCATCCCCTTTGTTATTATCATATGTGGATGAAAATGATGCTTCCTTGAGAGTCAGTGATGCTAAGGTAGTGTTAGGCTTCTACTTCTCTGCTGGCTATTTCAGTAGAGGAGAATTTGCTTTCAAACACCATGGGTCAACAAGCAAGGACAAGATCAAGATTGATTTGTGGGCTAGGAAGGTGGATCAGTGGTAGAGGGCTTGCCTTGCATGCCTGAGGCCCTGGGTTCAATTCCTCAGCACCACATAAGCAAAAAAGAAAAAAGCCGGAAGTGGCACTGTGGCTCAAGTTGTAGAGTGCTAGCCTTGAGCTGAAGAGCTGAGGGACAGCGCCCAGGCCCAGAGTCCAGGCCCCATGACCCGACCCCAAAATAAAAAAAAGATTGATCTGTACTAACCAAAGCTTGAAAGTAAAAGCTTTCAAGTTTTTACACTACCACCCTCAAGATATATGTCCGTATATATATGTGTGTATATATATATATATATATGTATGCATATGTATATATGTGCATATATACATATCTATGTATTGTTTATTTTTATGAGCATTCTATAGTCTGTTCTCTTATGTCCGTTTAACATTCCATTTTATAATAAGCATAGTCCTACGTGGTGTTTAAACTAGAGAGAAGGGAAAGGGAGATTGCTAGACTTGAGCTAGCATAAAAGCTCAGGCACAGATTCTGTACTCTGAGTTCAAGCCTAAGACTGACAGGGGAAATGAAAAAGAAAAGAAAAGAAAAGCAGGAGCCACCATAGAAAATAGACTTGGGAGGAAGAGACCTCAGAGCCTAGGATACTTTGTTGACTCAGAGTCATGTGATCATCAACAGTCAGCTGATTACTGGTTTCAGGCTGGTGATAGGGCAGGGGGAGGGGCCAATCTGTGGGCTGACCTAACCATGATCACATCTCAAACAATAGTTAAGCAAGTATGCATTTCATCTCAGCTGGATAGAAAATGTGAATAGGAAGTTTTCAGTTCAGGAGAGGCTAAGCATAAACACAAGTTCATATTCCAAAACTAAAAGCAGAAGTGGACGAAGACATGGCTGAAGTGGTACAGCACCAGTTGAGCATCAGGCCTGACAAACTCCAAACAAAATAAGTGTTGGATGATCACCTGTTAACAAACACAAACTCAGCTACTTTTGAAGATCCACAAGATACAGTGGATGATGCCACCTAAAGTTGCATACAGTCTGGTGGAAAAGTAATAAACAATAGTCCCAATAGAGAAGATAAACAGAATAAAAATATGAAGCAAAAAACAAACAAACACAATAAACCTTTTCCAAGCCTGGACAAACCTAAGTTGCACCTAACCCAAATCAAAAAGCCTGGTCTTTGTAGAAGGAAATTGTAAGAAGCAATTCCTTGAAAGAGGAGGTGAAAGGTGTGGCTGCCAGGATGTAAATTCCAACTCCTATTGATATGTAAATCAGCTTCCCTAGAAGACCTCTCAGGGACACTACCTTTTCTGGGCCCACCCCCTTTAAGTATAAATAGAGCGGAAGTCTGAGACTCAGCATTGCTGGAGAAGATCCCACATCAGCAGGACAGAGTGCATGTGTCGCTTGTACACCTTATGTGTAGATCAGAGTGGGTTGGTCTACTCTACTCCTCTTTCCTTAGTTCTTTGTTGTTAGTGGTGTTGTTGTTGTTTTGTTTTACTCTCAGGCCTCTTTTCTCCAAGGTTACTCATTTTCATCTGGGAAGAATCCCTCTATGTGTTGGGAACTCTATTCCAGATTACCTTTCTTATCTGAAGCAAACCAATAGTACTCTATTTATCTGAATTTCTTTGTGAGGTATTCTAATTTTTTTAGGAAATAAGCAGGCAACATAATATATAAAAGTAAAAACAAAAACAATGAATATATAGTAAAGTAGCAATAATTCAAAAATTGAGCAAATAAATTTTAAATATCGTTATTAAAATCCCATGAAAAATATGCCCTCACTAACTGCTTTCAACCTGAAAAAATTTGGTGCTTAGAGTATCAACAAATAAACAACAAACAGTGGGCACTGTTGTTTTACCGGTAATCCGTGCAATGTAGTGGGCTAAGGTCAGAGGATGGCAGTTCTTAGCCACTGGATACAAGAAATTCAAATGAACTCTTATCTGGTATTCAGCTCCAAAGTCCAGCTGTGGGTCAAGTTGTTGAGAACTTTCATATTTTTTTATTGTAAAATTACTGTACAGAGGGGTTACAATTACATTGGCAAGGTAATGAGTACATTTCTTATCAAGCATTGTTGCCTCCTCTCTTGTTTCCTCTTACCATCCCTTCCCATCTCTCCCCCTCTCCCCCTCCGTGGGCCAAAGATGTAAAGTTTGTTTTTTGACCTAATGTCTTGTACATCTCATTGTTGCAATGGGTCTACCTGTATCCCTATTTAAACTATTTTTTTCCCCTTCCCCTGCACAAATTATACCAGCATCAACTACTGTGAAAACAGGGGTTGTACTGTGGGGGAGGGACATACAAAGCAACAAACAAATCATCTTTTAAATATGTTAGAAGTAATGGCAAGAAAGAAAATCCATTTGAGTTCTTATCTTGGGGTTTATTTTCCCTAACATCAACTTATCTTACTGTTTCTGCTTGTCTGAGACATATAAAAGTTATTGCAAAGAAAGAAAGACATGGGCCCTATGTTTCTTGGGTCTGGCTTATTTCACTTACTAAAAACAACTAGGTTTATTTCAGTGTTAGTTTCATCTAAATGTATTTCCAATAGGAAATTGGGCAAAGCATTTAATAAAAGTATAATGTTGCAATTACCTAGTCAGCATTACCTTCCTTCAGAACTCTAAATGATTTTAATTATTCAATAATTTTGATCATCAATCAGCTTAAAACAATTTATTAAATGTTACAATTGACTGTTTTGTTATAGACCTTGGATATCAATGATAATATAAAACAAACCAATATACTTGAAATTGATTAGAAACTGTTAAAAACACAAAGTGATAACATTTTTAAAGTGAAACTTTTTAAAAAGAAAATGACTTTCCTTTTTAAGTATGAGTGATGTTTGTTTCAAGTATCATTTTATTATTATTATAAATATATATTTTTTGGTTGGTCATGGGGCTTGAACTCTGGGCCTGAGCACTGTCCCTCAGCTGTACAGTTCAAGGCTAGCGCTCTACCACTTGAGATACAGTGCCACTTCCTCAAGTATCATTTTAGTGTCACATGTTAATATAATGCTTCCGTTCTACATCACTTGGCTAACAAACCACAAAGCTTATATTAAACATGTGAAAACTATAAACCACTCAAATTCTTATTACATTTAATTTTGGTAGAGTTTAGTATGTTATACAAATTTTGGTTTTTTTTTTTAATTTCTTTTTCCACTTTAGGAAGCTGTATAAGAGGTTTATAATTTAACATATCTGTTTATGTGTCCAGTGATCTGGGTCATTAACCACTTCTATCACTCTCCTCTATCCTGTTTGTAAGCTAATATTCCAGGTAAAGCTTCTCTGAAGTGTGTATTCTTGGAAAATTAACAATCCTTGTAGACATTTCCTTCCAAATATCCCAAATGTTATCTGAGAAGTTGCCAAAATGAGGAATGGTTTTTATGTACATGTGGTATTATATAGCAATTTGTATTCACTTACAGGTTATTTCCAACTTTGACAATGAGCAAAAAAAAAATTTTAATTTTGAAGCACCTATTCAAAGTATAAAAAAGTGAAACAAGGCAAAGATCCAATTTTTTTTGTATGTGGCTGAATAATATCCCATTTGTTTATGCTGTATGTATATATCTTCATCATCCATCTGCTGATGGAATCTGAAGTTGATCCCATATTGAAGCTAGTGTAAACAGTTCTGTGATAAGGAGAGTAGCTATGTCTTTCTTTTGTAGGGCAACTTCATTTATTATGTTCCTGTTTTTATTTT